AAGCATTAAGCAACAGAAGCACCAAAGACATGTGTGGTGTGTTAAATATTAAAATCTCTGGTTATTGTAGGTTTTTCGGGCTGTTTGGCCAGTTCTTCCTCTCTTTGGAAGGAACAAAAACCTTTGGAACACAGCCAAACAGCCCGAAAAACCTACAACAACCATCAGATCCCGGCCGTGAAAGCCTTCGAGAATACATTAAAATTTGTGATTGCATAAACTTTCATGGAGCACAGTCCACTTGTTCATGTGCATGTGGAGTGTGGGCCTCAGAGTGAACAAAAGACACCAGAACCTCCAGATCTTGGCAAAAGACTTTAGTATGACCATTCCATCCTTTTGTCTGCCCTGTTTTGATCTATATGGCTCCTTTTTCTTTTTTTCGCAGTGCAGGTTAATCTCATTTTGCCCTGCCAGAGCTTTTAGTGATCTTAAAAGCCACAGAACTTGCCTGAAAGATCAAAAAGCTGGATATTGTCAGGAACTCGATGTTTCTCGTTCTGCAAATCACAAGTTTCCTAAGCTGCCAATGACCTACATCTTTCTTGCTTTGACTCTCTCTTCCTGACTTGCTTCAAGGTGAGCTGACTTTGCAGTTTTCCTCTTTCTCGTTCTCCTAGTTGAACTCTAATGCCTGCTAGTTTAACCACTAGAGATAATGAGATGTTATGGTTAATGTTATTATATAACTGCCAGTGTAAAGAAGCCCCCCCTCTCCCTCCCTCCCTCCCTCTCTCTCTTTCTCCCTCTCTCTGTGTACGCACATGCACACAGAGATAGGTATATTAAAGTAGCACTTGCCCTAGAGCAGAGAGACAGTGCTGACTTGGCATCAGCGGTAATCATTTAAAAAAAAAAAACCCTACCCTACCAATTAATTTCATAATAAATATGCTAATAAATATGCTAATTAAATGACATTCAGCCAAAGATTTAAAAATAAAAGTGGTTAAACCCTGCACATTCTTTCTCTATGTCAATTATGTTATACCACCATATTATCAACACTCAACTGATTTTAATTGCCTTAAGCTTTCCCAGGATTCTCCTTGAAAGGTTTTTGCCATTTCCAGAAAAAAGAGAGCATGAGATGTATTTAGTGGTGAATCTACCCGGAAGAACACAATCATACCCTTGTAATTTTCTGTCATCATACATATCTCTCTATCATAGCGAACTCATTTCCAACCATTGACGATTCCACAGTGGTTATTTTCTTATTTGTTATTTACATTTGTATCCTGTCTTTCTTTCATTGAGTTTGAGATGACATATGTAGTTCTCCCATGCACACTTTCATCCTCACAGCAGGCCTGTAAGGTTGGCTCAGAGATGGATGTTACTCACAGCAATAAAGTTCTGGATTGAATTATACCATTACCCAATCACAAGAAAGGTGAACATTCAGGATCTCCATAATTCTTCATTAGGCAAATATGGTATAAAAATTAGGGTTAATCACTTAAAAAGGAAAGCTTTCTAGTTCCCTGGGACCTTAAATCAGAGGGAAATGGTTATAAAATCAGTGTGGCTCTTGATCCATAAAGCTTGCTTTTGTTTCAGGTTTTTCGCGATCCAATGAAGGTATTATTCAACAACAAAAATTTAAATGGTAATAAAAGGTATCCTATCAAGCTCAGAGCTGGGGAGAAAACAAACAGCTAGCATTTATTATACCTTCTTCCTGATTTCCACTAGAAACTAGCTATGCATAAGTTTTTCCTGCTTAATAACCTTTTTTCAGTGGGGAAGAAATGAATGTTTACACAGCATTAAAGATAACTTACCATTACTTAAGTGTTAGTTAGTTAGTTAAAAAAAACCTACCTGTATGCATGCCAGACTTACTTATATGCATTTTGTTGTGGTTGCATGCCATCAAGTTGCCTTCAACTTATGGGGAGTTCCAACATGCCTTGTTCTCAACAGCCCTGTTAAGCTCTGCAAACTCAAGGCTGTAGCTTATAGAATCAATCCATCTCATATTTAGTCTTCCTCTTTTCCTGCTGCCTTCAACTTTTCCCATTGTAATTCCCTCTTCCAGCAAGTCTTGTCTTCTCATGATGTGACCAAAATAGGACAGTCTCAAGTTTTACTGTTTTTGTTTCCAGAGAAAGTCCAGGCTTGATTTGCAACAGAACCCACTTGTTTGTCTTTCTGGTGGCCCAGAGTACCTGCAAAGCTCTTTTGTAGCACCGTATTTCCAATGAATCATGTCTGTTTCTGTCAGCTTTCTTTACTGTGTAGCTTTTACACCCATACATAGTATCCAACAATACAAGTGTGTGGATGATCTTGTTCTTGGTCGCCAGTGACACATCATTACACTTGATGAGTTTTCCAGTTCCTTCATTGCTACCCTTCTGAGTCTCTGTCTTCTGATTTCTTCACTGTAGTCTCAGTTCGGATTGATGACTGAACTGAGGCATAGAACATCTTTAATAGTTCCAATTTCTTTATTGTCAATATTAAAGTTGTGTAGTTCTGCGCTCATGATTTTGGCCTTCCTCATGTTCAACTGCAGTCTTGCTTTTGGACTTTCTTCAGAAGTCGTTTCAAGCCATTGCTCTTTGGGGACTGGCATGTATATTGAATATTTTCAGTCTATGGTTCACTGTTTTGTCATCCATATTTCTTGGCATCTACTTATGATTTTGACAAATTCAGCTTGTCTAGCTGTGAATAGTTCTGATGGTATAGTCCACTGCTTTGTCATCCATATTTCCTGGCATCTACTTGTTATGATTTTGACAAATTCAGTTTGTCTAGCTGTGAATAGTTCTGATGGTATGCTATCTAATCAGGTGATTTATTTCTTCCAAGGGCTTTCAGAGCAGCTTTTACTTCACTTTCTAGAATTGCATGTAGTATTTTCTTTTTATGCCGCATTGTACACCCTATGCCCAATTGCCAGGCAATTGTCTTTTAAAATACAGTGAAGGGTTTTCCTCATTTAATTAAGTTCTGCAGTTAATTAATATTTAAAACAAAGGGTACAAAAGCTAAAGCCTTAATTCAACACTCTTCCATAGCTTAGACTTGCTTCAGAAAAAGTTATCCGACCCAGGAGTTGACTGAAAGGATGAGAGTGCCTCTGAACACATACAGATTTGCCTTTATTTCAACCCTAGGTGCTCCAGATAGACCTGAAAGTGGCTTTGATTTTCCTCAATTTCCAAATTCACACAACACCTTCGAAGCTCTTACCTTTCCCATTTTGGGACATTAACCCTTGTTCACAATCTCTGAGAAGTTTCCACACCTTCAAACATACAAATCCTTTTTTCCTCAAGTGTATGAGCTGCCTGTGGTGGCGTCCTTTCTCGCCACTAAATGTATTTAATGCCTCAGAAATCCGTACATGTTCAAGCACACTCTTTTTTTTCTTCATTCAATACGGTTTAGACCTGAAAGCACTCTCATTTTCCACACTATATTACACTTTGGCTTTTCCCCCCCTCTTCTCTCTTTCCCAAGTTCTTTCTCTCTCTCTCTCTCTCGTTTTGTTCAATTCCCCTCAAATCTCCCCTCAGCTTGAGTTGAGGGAGCGCTTCTCTCTTTCTCGTTTTGTTAAATTCCCCTCAGCTTGAGTTGAGGCAGCGCTTCTTTTTCTCCCCCCCCCGCGCTCCCTCAAAGGCGGAAGGATCCGAGCTCGCCGCGCGCGCCAAAAAAAAAGAAGTGCCGCTAAGAAAAAAACACACACACACCATCCCTAACCACCGAATGAAAGGAAGGCCGGGTTAAAAAAAGCGGAACTGCGCGTGCGCAAGCCGCCGCCGCCGCCAGCGCGTGCTTCGACTGCCTCAATCTTCCCGCCCTGGGCCTCAGAGAAAGAAGTCCGGCGTGCTTGCCGTATCCCTGCGCGCCCGAAAGGAGGTAGGCTCCTTGTCAGAGAGGAGGGGGGAAAGGAGAGAGAGAGAGTGAGGGGGGGCAAAAAAAGGGCGGCCATTTTGTTCGCCGCCGCTGCCGCCGGTCCTTCACCGCTGAGGCGAGCGAGCCGAGGAAGGAAGGAAGGCGGAAAGAGACCCAAGAAAGCGAGACCCGGAGGCGGACGGAGGGAGTGTGTGTGTTTGTGTGTGTTTGTGTGAGAGAAGGGACTCCAAGGGAAGAAGAGCCGAGAGGCGAGGAAAAAAAGCCGGCTCGGGAGCGAGCGGGGGGAGGTCGACCCGGCGGGCTCCCCTCCCTCCCTCAGCCGCCGTTGAGAGGCGATGGCGGATATTGACAAACTGAACATCGACAGCATCATCCAACG